GCTAGCGATCGCCTCCATCGTTCTTTGGTGACGATGATCTTGAGAACACCGTCTCCGAGGTAAATTCTTTCGGTAAGATGGCGGAGCGGGACGAGGGCCGATTCGCCGATGATCGTTGTTGGATGCCATCGTTTTGGGTCGAGATCCTCGAATTTTTCGGAGGCGTGGACGCAACCAAGTCTTGGATGAGCATGGGTCGGCCGAATATGCTTGTTTGCCTCTCTTTGATGACGAGAGGTCGACTGCATATGAGGGTGGTCCCCTTCTTTTTTATGACGAGGGGTCAGCCGCATATGAGGGTCCATCTCTTTTTTATGACGAGGGGTTGTACGAAAATGAGGGTCCGCCTCTTTTTTATGATGAGGGTCGTAAGAAAATGCTCTATCTTTGTATAATAAAATGTCGTCTCAGAAATATATTCTCATATAATACCATGATTTATGGGCTTTTTCGGGATGGAGATGTTAAATGTGCTGAAAATGTGTTTGAGAACATGGAGAACAAAGACATTGTGTCTTGTAATTCCTTGATATCTGGTATGTTGAAATTGAATTGGCGAGAGATTGCTTTATGGCGTTTGACAACATGCACTTGAGAGATGTGATTTCTTGGAATTTGATTATTGCGGGCCTAGTGAAGGATGGGGATTTTGATAAGGCTGAGGATGACGAGGACTATGGTGGTAGTTCGGGCTCCCAAATTTCGCAATTACGCAAGGTCCCTCATGTAGGAGGCGTGAACCGCATATGCCAAAATCCTCATATTTGTACCTCTTAGCCAGATACGAGCCATGTTCAGGTGCGGGATTTGAGCTCGCAATTGAAGGCTTTGGTAGGAAGAGATATTGAGACTCTCCATTGGGACTCGTTTGTGAATGATCGGGAAAAACAATAATGGTCGGACTGGTCAATTTACTGGTGGGCTGCGACATCTAGTGGAATTATGCGACAGGCGAGCGTGGAGCCCATTTGAGTCCGGGAGTCTTCTTGGTCTCGAAGTATCCCCAACAACGGCAACCACGCAAAGGTGTCGTCTCACATTCGAACATCATATGCGTTTAATGTTAAGCACTTGGTGCCTTCCTAGTGGAGACGAGATTGCGTCGTATTCGAGGGCGAATTCTTCTCATTGGAGAGAGAATGATAGAGACGAAATTATGTTGGCATTTCTGGACAAACATGATCGTTTGATATCATTAAATTTAATTAATTTATTCTTTTATTTTACTATTATTAGTTCTATATTTGGTAGGAATTATATTTAATTATAGGAAAGAACTTTATCCTAGTTATTTTCTTAGTAGATAAGTTATTCTTTTAGGGTTTGCTAGGAGATCCATTTAAGACTCTTATTCTTTTGTTTGGAGTTGAGTTTTGACTAAATAAAATATATTGAGTTTTTTCTTGATTTTCCCAATCATTTACGTTGTCGCTACGTCACAATCTGCTCAGATCATGAAATGACCAAATTGTCCTTAAAACATAAAGATGAAATGACATTTTTTTCCCTAAAGTTTGGAAAATTGATCTCCGATGGTAAGAAGTTGCGATATAGACAAATCGTGTATTAAAGGTTGCAATTCACTACAAAAAAAATTTTAGATTGCAAATTATTATTTATCCTTACAAAAATATGTTGAATCTGACCCTTTATTTGAAACAACAATTGTAATTAATATAAAGAATTCTTCTCGTGAATGAGCGTAGGATAGTGCAAAGCAGAGATATGGTATGCGTTTTTGGTTGGTTGTTTGTGATACTGGATGAATCATGTTTCCTGTTTGGTTGGCAGGGCAAGCAGGTAATAAGCGAACTGGCGTGTCGCATTTACTACAATCATTTCTCAACCTCTCTTCAAGTCTCAACACCACCAACGCCACTTTCCATGTTTAAGTGGGAGTTGTTGCCACAGATGGGGGCTCGCTTATGGTGGTGTGGGGGGATGCTATGATCTGGCGTCAACCAAGCAATTGAAATACACTACACATGAACCATCAATCTAAAAGATGTTCACTTCCAATATATCATTAAGCATGAAAACTACAAGGGGACAAGGATCACAAGTGAGTTAGAGCAACATAAAGACTAACAATGTAACATCACTAGTCAAAAGATAATAGCTGGGAACTTCGCTTTGACTCTCTGGGGAAAACATACTTTCTTGCCTTGGTTTCAATAGCACCGCCTAGAAAATGATAATCAAAATAGAACAAGCACCTACCACTAAGGGTGAACAAGCTGAGTTGCCTCTGAAAAAGATGCATTCCTGGCTTCCGAGTACGACCAACCATTTGTTGTCACGCACAAGGATAAAACAACAAATTGATAAGAAAACATTTTACTTTCTCTAAGGATGTAAAGAGTCAGAGCTGCTAGGGGGTCGAAGCTGTAGCTTTCTTTGTCCCCCCTTCAACGGGCGGTGAGAGACTTTGCAAACTGGGAACCATAAAAAAAAAATCCATCTTTCTAAGGGCCTAAACGAGATTCATACATCAAGGTTTACAGTATCAAAATGTCCTGCAATAGTTAATAATAAGCACAGCATGCACACATGAGAATAATAAGAACTCGACCCGCGTCAGTAAACAACTTCATCACCAAGGGTGTCAGATTCACGATTACTCTCTGTTTTTATTCCTTCAACTAGTCTTGCCAATACCATAAACCATATTCTTTCGAGATGGAGGTATCATTCATTTAACTTTACGAATTCTAACGAGTTTATCAGAATCTGTAAAGTGTAAATCCTACTAATGTAAGTGATCATCAATCCCCTAATTGTTAGAATTATAGAGTAGGTGGTTGTTCCAATATCTCATGAACTCAATAACTTCCATATAAATCGAACGAGAAAAATGAAGCCGAAACATTGAAGACTATGAAGATGGAAAATTCAAACATCTCAAAAAAAAATCACATGTAATGATTTCTCAAGAAACCAGATGTCAAATTACATTTTCTCGCCAAATGTGAAGATCCGAAGTCAAGGCAATCAACAGGCTATCTTTTCTTTTCTACCTAGGGAATGAGACTTTTTCTTTTTGCTACGTCACAATTTTCCGCAATACGAGTTCAAACAGTGTATATCACCCATTACTGACTAACAAGTTCTCAATGAGTTGAGCTAGAAGCTGAGAATAGTCACTTCTTCTAGAGTTTTCCCAGCTTGCCATAGCTTGATACAAATACAGAGCAACAGCATAGAAATCTTTTATGAATAGCAATAACAAAAGCAAAATCATATTCTAGACGCTTGAGAGTCATGTCTCATACTCATCATTCATCTTTGGACATTATCCATTCCATAACAGGAAACTACAAGCATAAATAAAACAACACCTTCAATCGCAATTAAGTGTNAAAAAAAAACAAAAAAAACAGGGACCTACGGATAGTTCCTCATAGCATAGATCAAGAATGACAAAATCAATCACTAAGCAAGTACATCAAGATTCAAGAATTAGCTGCAGTTACCAGCCTGACGGTTTTTTCTTATTATGTACAGACAAATGAACACTGACGCCAAAAGCAACGGGGTCAATCAATAAAACCAGTCCTCCGCCAAATGGCATTGCGCACCTGCCTGAGATCCCTCCCTTTCAGAGTCCGGCCAGCCCCCTCCAGCACCGAGCATGACAGCATCGGCGTGTTCCTTGCTGCCACCACCTCATGCGGCGGCAGCACCATCACGCCACCGTTCTCCTCCTCCCCCTCCTCCTCCCCCTCCGACACAACGTCCTCGAGCTCCCTCGCCCTCCTCGCCAGGGCTGCCGGCATCACCGGGACGTTCACCGGCGCGGATTGGGGCTGGAATCTCGTCCTCTCCGACGGCAGCGGAGGCGGAGGCGGACGCTTAGGAATCATTATCATAGCCGGCGACCTCGCCGGGGAGGTGGATGAGGAAGAAGAGAGGGAGGCCGAGGTTGAGGCCCTGTGGTTGAAGACGGGCCGGGAATCGGATCCCGATCCAGATCTGGATCTCGGGCTTTGGTCGTTCAAGGCGGCCAGGATGCCGTGGTGGCCGCGGGCATGGTTCGGGAGAACGCGGGCAGGATTCCGGCCCGGGCTGGAGCCAGAATGAGTCGACGAGGGAGAAGAGCTCCCCGACGGCGTATTGAAGATGTCGTGCTCGGAGAGCTCGAGCGGCGGCGTGGGGGAAGATGATTGCAGTCTGGATAAACCGAGAAATCGATCCGAAGGAGGAAGGTTGCGCTGGTGGCGGTGACGGCCGGCGCTGCCGCCGCCATGTTCTTCCATTATTGTGTTTAATGATCTGTGTAGGGAAGGTCGAGAGAGACGTAAAAAATGATGCGAGTCAATAATCATATAATATATATCGCTGAAAGGTTGGTTAAATGAGAGGGGTAATCCTGTGGTTCAGGTGTTGAAGAACCTCCGCTGAAAAGTGTTGTACGGAGGACTTCATTGGGTAAAGACCACGATCGGATGATATTGGCCAGGGTACAAGCTTATGTGGGCATAAAATGACGAGAAGGTCAGTATCCGTACTGGGTAAGGCGTGATCCGGATCTTCATTTAAATTAGCTTGTCAAAGGTCTTATTTGTGTAAATAATTTCTTCTCATTTTATATAAAAATACTAGCATTGGATCTGTGCATGTGCACAGATGCAAATAAAATTTTATATGTTGTATGTATGCGTATATAATATTTAAAATCATAAGTTACATAATAGCATATCAGATATTATAAATTTTATCATTAGCAAAAATGAACGATAACTATTAACTTATATATTAATCTTTATATCAATTGCAGTTATATAATTTTTGCAAATTTTTTTATTATGAACAATTAATTAGATAAAATAATATTGAAATTATTATTATTATAGCAATTGTGGACGAAATTTTAAAAATTTTAGTTATATCATAAAAATTAAATAACTAATCTTACTAAAAAAGAAACTTGCTTAATGAGTTAAAACAAAAAGAAAATAATAATTTAAACAAATAGTTTGAAAAAAAAATTATAATACCATTTAATGTGACTTTATGATTTTTTAGTAGTAGTTGTTATATAATAAAATAAATAAAAATTATAAATACTTAATTAATACAAAGTAACGTC